CGGGCTCCGCCCGCGGTCACACGGGCCTCGGAAGACTCCGGTTCGGGGCCGCCGGCACTCGGCTCCGCTGCTCGAAAGCGGCCTGCGCTGCTGACCCGGAAACAGGAAACGGTGGCCTTTACTTCCGGGGCCGCGCCGCGACTGCGCCTGCTCAAGCCACGCCCCTAACCATAGAGACATGAAGGCAGAGCGGCCCGCCCAGCTGCCCGTCCTTGCCTCGCCTCTCTATGGTGCTGGCTGACTGCTAGTGGGGCGGGGCCAGCCTGGGCCAGCCCCTGCCCTGCCCCCAGGGATCCAGGCTCCCCACCCCCCACCAGGGGGGTTGCTTGGCCCCATGGGCAGCCAGGGGGCACCCGGCCACTGCACGTGGTGTCGCACCCACAGGCCTGGGGGCACCAGGCTGCTCCCCAGGGTCCCACGGACACTGCACCCCCACGGGCCCCTGCCCTTGGCCCCACAGGCCTGGCTCCCCTCGCAGGTGTCCGGCAGCCCCCCGCCAGGCCCATCCCCAGCCAGGCTCCCAGGCCGGGGGCACCTCAGGAGAGCGAGCAGCAGCAGGGGGCTTGGCCCAGCACCCCTAGGACACATTGGACAACAGTCGCACCACAGGAAATAAACCAGACTGAGCCACGTCTGAAACAGAACGGCCTCATATATTAACTCTTCAATAGATTCTGTACGTTAGGAGTGAAGGAATGATAGAAGGCAGGTCTCCGATTGTCACTTGTACAACAAAGGCTCTATGCGGTTATTACACCTATTTCTGGTTTCAAATTAGAGAACAAAATTACAAGACAATTTTAATGCAACTTTAAAAAGTTCTCAAGTAACTGAATATAAAATCTCTTCCCAATGCACTTCGAAGGGTCAGTCAGAAAATTCATTTCCACAGATTTTTCTCTTTACCACAGAGTGTTCAGAAAAGGTAGACAACTGGTACTTGAAGTGTGAAATGTTTGACCTTTGCAAATAAATGCAAATACATTCCTGGTACAGCAGTCACATTTTGGCAATATTAGTAGCAAGCAATATGCTTGGATAACAGATTTCCACTTCTGCATTTGCAAATTCCTTCTCTGCTGGGCAATGAAAGGCCACTTGCAACATCCTGCAGGGGGGGAAAGGTATTTTAGTCAGAGGTATGAGCTATATACCTAATACAGCAAATCTATGATCATTTGTACCCAGGGCTCTTACAAATGACTTTGTGAGAGACCTACAAACTCCCAACCAGGAACCAAGACTGGTGCTACATCTCCACGGCAGAGCCTATTCCCCCAGTGTAGATGCACCGTATACAGACAGAAGGAGCGCCGCCATTATAGGAACTCCTCAAACTGCTGCTTCTGTTGTCAGCATAGCTCCGCTTCTGAAGGGGGAGGGATTCAAACCCCTAACTGACAGCACTATGCCAGTGTATGCTGTAAGTGTAGACCAGGCCTAATAGACCCTCTGTTCCTGTTCAATGCTTTTGTTTCCTTTATCACAATCATTATGATGTTCATTTGTGTCTCAAACTCAGAACAAGACATTTCCAATTCAATGGACATTCTAAATGTCAGGCCATGTCTACACTAGCACTTATGTCAACACTTTTGTCGCTCAGGGGGGTGAAAAAATATCCCACTGAGTAACAAATTTTGATGGCATAAGTGCTCATGTGCACAGTGCTATGTAGGCAGGAGATGCTCTTCCCCCAGCATAAAACCAACTCAACAAGCGGCGGTAGCTATTACGCCAACGGGAGAGCTCTCTCCCATCAGCATAACACGGCTACACGAGCGCTCATACAGCGGCAAAGCTGTCTTGGTACAGCTGTGCCGCTGTCAACTTGTAAGTGTAGACGTGGCCTTAGATTTTACAAGTGCTCACAATTGTTTTTACAACACAGTGTAGGGATTATTGTGTAAAAACACAGACCTTAAGCTTTGTTTCAGAAGAAGAGGGGAAAGCAAGAACTACAGAGGTGTTGTTTGTTTTGTTTTGTTAATTACAAAATAGTCTGTCTGACTTTTTTTTATTATTAATCCATGGAGGTCAATGGCACATCCTAGAGGGTTATCAGAGCTTCTCCTGCTGCAACACAGAACTACTGCTCAGTTCATCTGGATATTTCCATGTTCTCAGCAATCCTACAGACTGGTGATGTTACCGAGTAGTTCATTTACATTTTGGGCAAGTAAACCTGTTTTCACAGGAAACACAAGAAATCACGTTTTGAAATCCATCTGGCAAAGTAACAGCATTATTCTGGCAAATTGGAGCAATTAACTGAACATGGAGTTGATATGTCTCAGGAGCACACCTAGAGCCACTGAACTCTAAGCAACAGGCACTAGAAATTATGCAGGCAAAACCCCACCCCAGAGCAATGCAGATAGATTTGCAGGATTTCCAAGTAAAGCACAAGTACCTACCTGGAAATCATTAACTTTCAGTGAGAAGCAGACGTATTCTGAGTCACCTAAAACAATCCAAGAAAAGCGATGATTAGTATTAAGTCACATACAAAACACAAACTCTCCCACCGCACTTCTCAGAGTGAGTTGAGAGTGCGCTTTTGCCAGGAGATTGCCACCTCTCCTGTGATATGTAGGCTTCCCCAGTGACCCAGATCTTCATCACTGCAATGCATTCTACATGGGACTCCACCTGACAGCCATTCAGGATCTGCAGCTGGTGCTTCTTGCAGGGAGCACAATTACACCCGTGCACGGCAGTCTGCACTAGTTTCGGAGTCTGGCAATTCAAAGCAATGGTTTTCCACTTGTGAATCCCTAAATGCTTTTAATGCTGGCTACCTGAGAGGTGCCTCTCTCCCCACATGCTACTGTGACAGCCGAAATCACTGCTTACTTTAACAGTTCCCATATTAAATAGGCAGTCTTGGTTTCCCAAGCCCCTTGCTTGGACACAGCCCTAGTGTGTTGACCATTAGGCTATTGTGTGTCATAAGAACATGAGAATACCTGTGCTGGGTCAGACCAATGGTCTGTCTAGGCCAGCATCCTGTCTTCTGACAGTGGCCAATGCCGGGTGCTTCAGAGGGAATGAACAGAACAGGGTAATTTATCTCGTGATCCATTCCATCATCCAGGCCCAGCTTCTGGCAGTAATAGGTTTAGGGACACACAGCGCATGGGGTTGTGTCCATGACCATCTCTGCTAACAGCCAGCCACCTATCCGCCAGGAACTTAACTAATTTTTTTTTAAAACCCAGTTTTACTTTTGGTCTTCACAACATCCCCTGGCAACAAGTTCCACAGGTTGTGCATTGTGTGAAAAAGTCCTTCCTTATATTTGTTGTGTCCTATCTATTTAGGCAGTATTTTCTAAGGGGATAAGGGTTTAAAGTTCTTTGATCTTCATCTCTAGTGCCATTGTGATTGCACCAAATTGTAAAGTGCTTCCTTCCTCTGCAAAGGGAGCGGTTTTAGTGACACATGAAACAGTTATACACTGAGAGAACCATCAGAACCAGAAGCCATGTTCTGGGACATTTACATTCTCTAGATTAGACAGACACCCTCCCCCTTTCCACTCCACATGTAGCAAGACCCAGAACAGCAGTTCAAGAGTCAGGGGCCCCAGGGAGAAGAGCATGTCCAGAGGGATTAGAGGCAGCGGAAGTGTGTTTGTCAGATGAATGCACAGACACCCCAGAGCAAGCAAGAAGCCAGAAGTGAGAGAAAATAACGTTAGCAGGAAGGAGGGGAGGTGGGGCGGGCATGAGTGTACGCAGGGCTTGGATAGCGATGACCAGCAGCTAAAATTTCATGCAGCCAGACAGGACACCAGTGAAAGGATCCGTGGTTGGCGTGACATGATCAGCATGACGAGAGAGGAACAACTGTGCAGTGGAGATTTGGATGGACTGAAGCAGGAGATGCAAGTGAGTCAGGTATCCCAAGGACAGAGCTGCTCCCCTCATGTGAGGGACCAGACATGCCACAGATCCATCCGAAATGAAGGTCTAGCCCGGAGGAGTCACTGGGCTCTCTCACCTGAAGACGCCCTTTCAGATTGGCTGGTGTTTTAAAATCCCCCTTCATAACCTATGGAAGGAATGAAACCAGAGTGACTCCACTTTGTACAGACTAGCTGATGCTTAAACAGCCCTTCTGCCTCATTAGCTGCCTGGCATGTCAGCGTGTCTGAACCAGAAGCAAACCTCAAAGGCCTGAGCAATAGCCTGGCGTGTGCATGGTGCGTGGAGTGATTTCGTTCTGCCCTGCTGGGCTGATCGCTAGCATTGTGGGCCGCCGACGTACGATTTCCGCACAGACCTGGCGTTTGGCATCAGACGGTGGCTGCGGCGCTGTCCTCAGGACTTCTGCTAAAAGTGGTTTCTCTGGGCTGCGCCGCACCACGCTCCCTCCCTTCTCACCCAAGGGTTGTTTTTTTTTTAAACTGCACTGAGAAGGGATCTTTTGAACAATGACCATTTTCCATGTTCACGTTGACAAAAACTGAAGGGCTCCACTTTACTGAACTCAGGAATCCGCAGGGTCTGGATCCTGGGAGAGCCTCTCATCCCACTTTCCACTGCCACAATCAGAGCAGCCAAGCAAGTCAGGTCCAGGGGCAGGGGCTGGGATTTCAATGTATCATGCACAGAGATGGCACCAAACCTCCGAAAACATGAAAACAGTCTGCCCGTGGTTCTGTGTGTGCCATAACTGTGGCCTCTGGGCATCACTGCAATAAACCACCAGCACCACCTCATCGCAGTCCCTGGGCTAGTTCTCCTAGTACAGGAGTTGCCTGGTCCTCTTGGAGTCCTCCCTTTGAGGGAGGAGAGTTTGACCTGGGCCCAAGCAGAAACAAGGACATGAGAAGATTCCCTTCCTTTAGTACAGGGGTGGGCAAACTACGGCCCGCGGGACCGTCCTGCCCGGCCCCTCCCCTGCTGTTCCCCCTCGCCCGCAGCCCCTCCCCCGCAGCCTCAGCTCGCTCACTCTGCCGCCAGCGCAATGCTCTGGGCAGCGGGGCTGTGAGCTCCTGGGGCAGCGCAGCTGCAGAGCCTGGCCTGACCCGATCTCTGTGCTGCGTGGTGGCGGTGTGGCACCACCAGCCGCGCCACCAGTGCTCCAGGCAGCGCGGTAAGGGGGCAGGGAGCAGGAGGGGTTGGATAGACGGCAGGGGAGTTCGGGGTGGTGGTCAGGGGGCGGGGGTGTGGATAGGGGTCAGAGCAGTCGGGGGGGGGAACAGGGGGTTGAATGGGGGCAGAGGTCCCGGGGGACAGTCAGGAAGGAGGGGGGGTTGGATGGGGCAGGGGTCCCGGGGGGGCTGTCAGGAAGGTGGGGGGGTTGGATGGGGCAGCGGGGGGCAGTCAGGGGCAGGGAGAAGGGGTGGTTGGATGGGGCAGGGGTCCCAGGGGGGCTGTTAGGATGAGATGAGGGGTTGGATGGTGCGGCGGGTGTCCGGGGATGGTCAGGGGACAGGGAGCGGGGGAGTGTGGATGGGGCAGGAGTCCCAGGGGCGCCATCAGGGAACAGGGGGGTTGGATGGGGCAGGAGTCCCGGGGGCGGGGGTGGGGTGCCACGGCCCCCTCCCCTAACCGGCCCTCCATACAATTTCCGAAACCCGATGCAGCCCTCGGGCCAAACAGTTTGCCCGCCCCTGCTTCAGTAACTGGCTCGTGGCTCTGCAGCACCCCCTAGCGGGGGCTGTAATTCCCAGAGCAGCACAAGTAAATCTTCTGGGGAATGTCTCAGGCCTTAGCACAGCCTGAGTAGGAGCACTGTCCCAGGACATGACCTCGCATTTCTTCTGCACCCAGCCTCCCCCTGACTTGAGTGAGTCTGGGGTGAGCTAAGGAATGAAGCATCAGTTTCTAGGTCTTCCACTGGGGAGAGACTGGAGTTTTCTAGCTTTGCATTTACGCGACTTTTAACTTGGTCTTGGTTAAAAAAAACCCCAATACACTCCTGAGGCTTCCCGAATTAGCTGGCCAGGACAGAGTAGTGCAATATCTGCCCTGAGGAGGCACAAGACCAACAGGAATTTCATCTCTCACACGTCACGGAGTCTGTCATCTGAACCAATGTTTTGAAAATAAGGAAAATGTAACTGGCACGTCCCCTTCTGTAGTTTTATCATCTTTTAAACAGGGGCAGTGGTTTTTAAAGGGTTCTCTTTGCTATGATTTAGTGACCTCTCCAACCCTGGAGAGAGATGTAAGTCAGTATTGCATATAGTAAATCCACATTTTTGTCGCTATTTTGTATTTGTAACGTGCGTCATTCCCATCACCCTCCAGTGACACGCCGCATTCTAAGCGGACAGTAGCAATACTCACCCTCTGGGTGTTGTTGATTACCAAGGGGTCTGGGTTGCCATAGTTGGGTGGATTTGCATATGGGTCATAGCCAAGCCTAGCGAGCATTGGTGCTATCTGGGCCATGTCTTGCAATACGTCCCCTGGAATGTGCCCGATCCATTTGGACAAAGCTTCCAAGTTTACAGGCTTAATAACCTGGTCTGTTGATCTTTCTATCCTGAAAAGAGAGTAGAAATCAGTCGCTTGGGTTTTGGATGCACGTTGCGTTCATACATAGGAGCCTGCAGCTGGGTTATTTGAATTCTCATTCTCAATGCCGGAGAGACGCATGTAGCTCAGATATTTTCAGCGTCTTCAGGATACAAAGCTCATAAAACAGAGGCTTTAAATCTATCTATCGGTAAAGCACCAGTGCCTTCATTAGGATGGCAGAGCTGCAGGGCCAAAGACCCAACACTAACACTCCTAAGGGGTCAGCTCCACGTGTTTCAATACCCAAGTGCAAAGCATCCTTCCCCACTCTGCCTGGCCTAGGGACGCTCCCGTCCGTCCTGCCCACCTTGCTGGGCCTCCTGTGTGAGATCATCTGCAGTTTGTTTTCACTAGAGAGGGAAAGTGTGTCCCACTGCAATCCAAGCTTCGCTGCCGGTCTGCAGCAACAGTCTGCACCCTGCAGTCAAGGGGGGAGGGATAGCTCAGTGGTTTGAGCATTGGCCTGCTAAACCCAGGGTTGTGAGTTCAATCCTTGAGGGGGCCATTTAGGGATCTGGGGCAAAATCAGTGCTTGGTCCTGCTAGTGAAGGCAGGGGGCTGGACTCGATGACCTTTCGGGGTCCCTTCCAGTTCTAGGAGATAGGATATCTCCATATATTATTATTTATTTATAAGGCAGAGCAGCAGTCGATCACTGCACAAACTGTCCCTTTAGATTTTGAGACAGCAAAGTTAACGTCCTGTAATTAGGCAGATTTACATAATTAGCATGAAAATTAGAGCCCTCCCTAGAGACAGTTCTGTTTATTCAGGACCCGTAAATCTCTGGCACACGCACGAGGAGCAGAGGCTGCAGCAGGAGTGCGGCAGGCGCCGCCAGACCATGAAGGATCCAGGAAAACCTCCCATCCCCGACCTGTCTCCCATCAGGCCTTGGTGAGCAGACACTGATTTCTACCCTCTTCTGAAGGGACGGGCATTCCTACGGCCAAACCTCTCACCCCAGTTACTGCAGGAGAAAAATCAAAGGAATTTGTGGCTACCGGCCACATGGACATCATGGGAAATGAGACCTCGGGAACTGGGCAGCGTTAGTAAGTTAATGGGCTATTTGCTCTCAGTAGATTTTTAAAGATACAAAGCCCAATAGAGGCCATCAGTTCACCTAAGAAATATGCCTGCATCTACCACAGTAGCTGCTCTCCCCTTCCCTCGCTACCCCAAACCACAATTTCCTTGGCTGGGGAGGGTTTAGAGCGAAGGAAAGACAAGGCCATGAAGGAGAAAAGCTCTAGCCCAAGTCATGAGTGAACTGCGTGCTCCCCATCCTCTGCATTCCCTCTGCTCGGCTGCGCCCAGTTCCTGCGCAGCGCGTCTGCAACGGTCACGCCTTACACCTCACGGAGAGCCAGACTCCAAGAGCCTCTCCAGAGTCACAACACCCCCCATTCACGAGCATCAGCAATGGAGTGACTTGCCTTGGAATTGACCACCAGGGCTCGAGCCCCTAATTCTGGAAAAGAAAGTGCTCTTTTGTTTGTACAGCACCCAGGACAATGAGGCCCGAATGCCCCTCTGAGGTCCTTAAATAATATGGGACTCTAATCACTCTTCCCGCCTCTCCCTCTCGCCCTCCCCCCACTAAGTAGCCAGGGCCTCAGTTACACAGCGTGGCATCGGTGACTCAAAGAGAACCACACCCAGGAAAATGCTGACTAGGTGAGACAGCATTTTGCAAGGGTACTGAATCACCAATCACGCGCAGTCAGCTTCCACTGCTCCTCTCTCTTTGGGAAGAACTTTTTTGGGTAAGTCTACACTGCAATGAGGCACCTGCGGCTGGCCAGTGCCAGCCGACAGGGTCATGGGGCTCGGGTTGTTTAACTGCAGTGTAGACCTCTGGGGCTCGGGCTGGAGGCCAGGCTCTAGGATCCTGCGAGGTGGGAGGGTTCCAAAGCTCAGGACATCCCGAACGTCTACACCACAATTAAACAGCCCCGCAGCCAGAGCCCCATGAGCCCGAGTCAGATGGCACAGGCCAGCCACGGGTGTCTCATTGCAGTGTAGACATTCCCAGGGCCGGTGCAACCCATTAGGCGACCGAGGCGATTGCCTAGGGCGCTACAATTTGGGGGGCGACGACCGCGGCGGTATTTCGGCGGCGGGACCTTCTGTTGCCTCTGTGGGGGGCGGCATTTCGGGGCGGGACCTTCCGCCGCAGCTGGCGGCGCTCCTGGACATACCCTTAGTGTTGATGAAAGTATGGCCTGACAATGTCCTCCCTTTCCCTTGCTCAGAGAAAAACCATACAGTGGGTTCTTTCTCCTCCACCTCCCCGTTCTGGATGTACAGAACTAACAGAAAAAGACTGTTCGAAGACAGACTTGTCTGGCTAGTTCCCATATATCCATGTTTACAGTCAGAGGTTGGGTTAGGTTAATCTAAAATTACCAAGTAGCCAAACAACGGCAGCAAGTAGCTCAAAACATGAACTAGCTCTCGAAGACGCACGCTGTGCGTACACACTTCTTTATGCCAGGATCGTGTCAGAACTACGTGTGGCGAGAGGCAGTGGGAAGTCAGGGAACCTCAGCTGCATGCTACCGAAAATCATTCAGTGCTAGCCGGAACGTAATCCAATGTTTAAAGAAATATTTGGGAATGGGTAGAAAAAGAGAAAGGGGACATAGATTACCCCAAAACTGGAGCTCCTTAATAGGACTCTGCCAAAGCAGAGCCTGAAATCATCCCCTTATTTACAAGTGGGATGACGGAGACGTCACCATTCTTAAAAATCCTCACCTAAGCAGCTAACCGCCATTGTGACATTCACGCAGTTCTTTACTTAGACACACACAAATACGCTACAGCAGAGTTGGGTGCATCGATCCCTCTGCTCCTGAAAACCAGGCATGAAAATAAGCAACAAGGCATGCCCCAAGAAGGTTTGGCAAGAACCCGCTCCGTCTAGTCAGGAGTCTCTTTGGAAAGCAGCGGCAGCCATACGGACACTCACTTGGAAAGAGAGACTCCGCCTGGTTTCCCTATTAATTCTTCATGGTGCAGCACTGCGTCGCTCCAGGAAATGTCTAGGAACTGCATGATGACACGCATGGACTGCTCGGGATGCAGCACTAGCTGCTCATAGTAGACTGGCAGGCACCTGGACTGCCCAATTTCTACGCACTGCGAATACATCACCTCGATCGCTTTGTTCCACTTGGTAAGGCAGTCTCGGTAGCTGTTCAAGTCAAAGCCTGCAATCGTCACCTTCCTTGTGATCATGGAATGGACAGAAGCCCGGCCGTCTCGAACCATCAGCAGAAATTTGGAATTGGGAAAGAGCTTGGAAAGGTAGACAGAGGATTTTAACGTGAAGGGATCCTTGTTACATAGATATCTGGCTGGCTCCCCATGCTTGGCAATGACTTCCAGGATAAACGCCTGCATGGCAGCGTCCAGGACTTGGTCCGTCACTCCCGCTTCATCCAAGCGCATCTTTTCGCGCCCAGATTTGGACCAGGCCTGGCGCATGGCCAACACCCGGGGAATAATGCGAGTCTCTTCTCCGCAGCGGACCTCTGGATGCGCATCCAGCATGGCTCTCATGAGAGTCGTGCCGCTCCGCGGGACCCCACCGATAAATATCAGAGGCATCTCCTTGCTGTACCGGTACTCGATGCGACTGGAGTCCACCATAACCAGTTCTTCGTTTTCTGGTCTCATCAGCCCATGCGTCCGCTTGCCATAGCCCTTGCCCAGCAGCTCCTGGCACTCCAACATCTGCTGGCCAAGGTGCACAGTCACCATCAGGGCAACCGCAAGGCCAAGCCCCAGCAACACCCGCCTCATGGTGACCCGCATTCTGTTCCTCTGCACATAGGCTGGGAGACCTTCAGCTTTCAGTTAGTAAGCAGCCAAGCCGGTGCGCATCTGCAAAGAAAACAGCACATGTTCAAAGAAGTCAGTGGCATACATCCGGTTACCCAGCCCGTCTCCTACTGAGCCACCTGACACCAGGACAGCCTCAGCCTCCAATAAATCACACAGAGACCTATTGATCACCTCAACTGGCCCTGGAGAGAACACCCCAGCCATTTGTCTTGTCTGCTTGGAACTAACTCCAGCTTCCACCACAACTCCTGAGAGACCATTCCAGGGTCTAATCAACCTCGTGATTTATCACCATCTTACATCCCCCAAAGAAGTGCAAAGTGATTTTCAGACTGTAAGTAAAGAGATTGTTTCTTGCTGCTGGGGATGAAGGTACCTGTTTACCAGAAATGCTGCGCAGCAGTTTAGGAGAGAAAATTAAGAATCATGTATCCAGGAAATCCTTAGGGAAGTACTTCCAAAACATCCAGACCAAATTTTCCTTGGCTTATCCTATTACTTCTTTCTATTAAATATGTGTTGCTTTGAAGCAAGGACTGCCATCAAAACAGAGAAGAACTGAAGTAAAAACAGAATAGAAGCCTCCAAGCTCTGGGTATTCCATGCGAGCAATTCTAGAAGAGTCGGAGTGCAGCAAAAGCGCCGGCCTTGCTTTACTAGCTCAATGGCAGAGCTTTTGTCTGTATGGCCAGGGGCATTTTGGCTTAGCCAGACTTTTCCCTCCTCATGAAGGCCAAGAAAACATCAACCTCCAAGGTGACAGACTGATTTACTGCCCTCCATCCCAGATGTGTCCCCAATCCTTTCTGGCAGTTTTCCTTTGTTGTATTACACGTATTCACTGAACTACACCACACAACCCTTCTATCAGTTCCATAAACAAGATCTTTCCTGTATGCATTTGTTTACTTTGATTAGAAATTAGCTAGGACAAGAGAAAACTCGACCCATTTGATTTCCAGGAGGTTGGTGGGTTTGCTTCAGCAGAAGCGATGGCCAATGAGCATCAAATTGGGTTAATTATTAAACAAACTATGTATGTGAAGGTTTAGTGTCAATACTATCAACAAGCATCGCCAATCTGAATACTCCCCTGCCAGAAACTGACCTTAAATAAAGTTTCCCCTTGAAACACTGAAGCTTTCATTTGGCTCTGCCGTGAAGACGCGACTTCTCCGCAGGAGATTCCAGCAGGAGGATTGTTGCTCCTGCAAGTCTGTCTCCTGCTCTGCTGATTCCACAAAGCTCCTATTAAAACTGGCCAACCATCCCTCCCCCTTTCCCGTAGGAACCCACTAGTGCAGGGTTTGCAACCCCGCCCCGAGGTCACAGAGGGCGTTGGGGTAAATTCCTTGCAATGCCTGGATTTGGGCAGAAGTTGAACGTGGGAGAGGGGAAGGGGACCGCTGTGCATTTTATTTCACTGCCAATCCAAAACGCTGCCTAAGGAAAATATTTTCTTCTCAAAAATTTCTTAATGAAAGCAAGCATTTCCCAGTGGCCCATGTAACCATGCAGAGCAGTCCATTCTCACACCCGGCAGGGCACTGGCCGTGTCCCGGGAGCTGAGTCAGGCATGCTGCTTTACTTGACATCATTATTTGTTCAGCACTGACTGTGCGTGGTACTGTACAAAGAGCAGCAGTTCTGGGCCCCAGGACTTTACAATCTAGTTACATGTCTCTGAAGTGATGAATTGGTCAGTTGACTTTTTAATATATATTCATCTCCAAAAGCAATTTAAAATGCCCACTAGCCTCTGGGCTCCACAGCATTTATAGCTGGAATGGACAGAAATTCAGACTAACCGGACTGTAATGGGATGTAGTTCAAAAGTCTAAGCAGAGGTAAAAAAAAAATATTTTAAAGGGAGGATAGTATTAAATGGGGTAGGAGAATATAGTTTATGGTTAACGTTTCCTCCCGGGATTCCCTGGCAGCCCCACTCGCTTGTCAAGGTCACTTAGAGGTGAGGACATGGCTCATCTGGGCATCTGAAATGAGTGCTGTGAATCTGACCACACAAACACGGGATTCCAGGACAACGGACCAGACGGAACGTGCCACACCTCAGAATCCTGAAGTGAAACCTGCTGCATACGTTCTGGGCCCTCCACTGCCCAGGCAGACAAAGTCGCTTTAAGGGACTGTGATCTCAAATGTTATTCAGCTCTGCTCCTGCCCATCCATGTGCTTGTTCAGCTACTGCCAAGGCAGATGGCAACTATGCAGCATTCACAGAGACTGTTTGGCCTCTAATTTTGCCTGCTAGCCATTTAAAAAGAAAAAAGAGCTCTTAAAATAGTGGGTCTATCAGCTTCAGGGTGACAGACATGCGGACAGCCTGCTGTCTGGGCACATGACTAGGGAACAAGAACCCTGATCTGATGCTGACTCCATCTGTGTCTGGAACATGTCACTTCTCTCTCTCCCTGCTTCCCCAACAGTAACAAGGGGAATACTTGCTGGGGGGCAGCCAGGGGATGGTTGCCAAGAGCAGACTGCTACCCAAAGTACTACCTATTATTAGATGGGGTCACTAAAACCTCCCGAAACTCGGAGTTCCTAAACAAGCACAAGTGAGCCTACTCACTAAAGCGAGGTCAAAGGTGCAATTAAGCTCAAACTGCTTTCTGCAGTCTTCTGCTGCCGAAAGTCCTCAGTTACTGTCTTCTCCCCGGCATCTTCCCTCCCACACAGGATCCAGGGACTTAAAATCATTGTATCCTTCAGGACATAAGTTCATCAACAGAAACCAAAAAGCTAAAGGCTTCACCAGAGTACAACCAGCGCAGCAGCTCAATAAACCCCCACACACGTCTGGCTGGTGCTCTGACCCCTGGGACACATTGACGAAGATGGAGTGCGATCCAGAGAGCCAGAAACTCCATCTCCAACCAGACGGAGAATTTAGTGCTGGCTTTAAAGAAAGCAAAATGCAACATGCAGAGTAACAGCTGAGCTGGGGCCGATGTGGTAATAAGGATCAATACAAACCCAAAATAAAAAAAAATCCCTGCAATTAAAAATCTTCCCCATTTTGCATTCTGCTTAGGTATTAATAGCAGCAAGATTTGTAATTGTTTCTAGTAGCTTTTGAGAGTGGTAAAATATTAATAACACAGAAGTGGCTGTGCAGACACAAACATGAAATATTCATTAACTCACTCCCAATATGTCATGCCGGGTCCCACTGCTCTGACAGATCCTCTTTTGATACACTTACCTTTCCCTGGTAAATTCATTTTGCCGTTGGCCGATCTTTGCTCAGAAATACAGATGGCCGATGAATACCTAATGGGGAAAAAAAACCACAATGCTGATTTGTTTAGAGATAACTGATATTCATCGGAATGGTTAGAAATAAAATGCTCATTCTCAGGATTCAGTTTTCAATATTGCACTTTTAATAGTCTATCGACACACAGATCATTAATCTTTTAATGTTTACCTGAAAGCCAAACGACATGCAGACATGAGATACAACTGTTATGTTCATCATGCATTGTCTTCACCAAACCTAGCAACTGGCTGGCAGAAATCAGCCTGACTATCTTAACACACTGGCAGTGTCACTTGGCTATCTCAGCTACAGACAAGGCATTAAAAATAAGACTATACACCTGGCATCACAACCCTGAGCCCATGAAGCAACATTCCTCTCATCCCAGGGAAAGGAAACCTTGCAAGTCCATGGGGTAAATTACAACAAAACTCAGGGAGAGTTTGGGGGCACCGGCTGAGAGAGAAGAAGAAAGCAATTGAACACCTCTCTCAAATGAGGTAGGAGGCTGACTTCCCAAGACCTGAGACGGAGAGAGCAAGAGCCAGGCAGAAGCAGGCAGGATGTGAGAGGCCAGAGGGGATGGCAGACTGACTATATTACAGAGTCCCAACTGGGCTTTTCTATTTCCCACAGGTAAACAGAACCACGCAGCCTGCTCCAGAGGACACTGCACACCACCTGCTTTCCCGTTTCATTACAAGCTCTGAAATCAGGCAAGAGCAAAAGTGCTGCAGAGGGTCACCAGCTTTTCCGACAAACCTGAGCCCAGTGTACGGCTTTGACCGAGGTCATCTGCAATTCTGAGCAAGCTCTGCTTTGAAAATAAGGCTCCTTTGAGCATACCACTCAAAGCAAAGTCAAGGGGATGCGAACCCCAGAGCAAAAGAAAACGTCAGCATGAGCCCCTGCAAAGCAAGCTGCAAGATTTCCCTGGCTAGGACAAACTCTTCCACCTTTTGCTCAAGGTGGATTCCTTCACCCTGCTGTCTGTGAAACTGATTTTTAGCACATGGAACTCCCTGGGGCCCAGTGGTGTTTGCAATCTACCTGCAGCATGCAGATCCACAAGAAGTGATCTTAACATTGAAACAAAACGGGCTCCCACGGGTGGTACACATGCGCCCCTCCCACTAAGCATCGCCCCCTGCTCCCCACCTGTCTCTGGATTTCCAAGGAGCCCTGTCTTCTGCATCTGCGACTATAAGTTCCCTCTTTGCAGATCATACAACAGCCTAGTAGACGGAGCTGCCTTCTGCGAACACAGAATCTTTTTCATGCTGTTTCCAGGAGATGCCTCTGAACCAGGGATAAAAACGTTACCAGTGTAACTGCTGCAAGAGGTTAGGTGCCCCTGCAGGGCAGCAGCAAGGCAGGCTCCAGTCGCCTTTCGGGTGAAGGGGCCGAGACAGAAGGGAGAGGAGGGGGCAAAAAGGCACAAAGCAGCACATGCCATTTGGCTGCACACAGCCACCAGGCCTATTAGGCTGGAAGGGGATTTCCACCTGGCTCCAGGATTAGAGGCCGTCACGGGATTCTCTCCCCAGTATTTCTGGCGCACCCCCTGCTGCAGATCTAAGCACTCCACGTACACTACAGGCCTCGGTGTCTGCTGCTGGGGGCGATGACTCACTCATCCATAGTCTGGTGAGCACACTTGGTAACACTACACCCCCACCCATCACATACACAGCTCCCCGCAGCTCTCATGGTCGGGGCACAGCACCTCGCCTCCCCAGTTGGACACTGACAGGTTCCCTCGAGACCTGGGGCTTGACTGTCAGAGGTGATAAGCACCCCCAGCTCCATTAACTTCAACTGGAGTTCTGGGCGCTCAGCACCACTGAAAGGCAGGCCCTTGTTTGCCTCAGTTTCCCCTGTACACCGGGGATTTCATCCCCTGCTTCACAGAACCAACTGACGGTGTCTGTAGCATTGGGTCAGTACAGAAGCGCTGCAGAACTGCTAATGATTAGTACTGATGTGTGAGTGGAACAAGGCAATCAGCTCTGCCTCTACTCTAGAGCCAATTAAGAGCCTGGGGGGGAACTCCACCCAGATCAAGTTTCCAGAGAATCCCAGTCTGCCCAGAGGGGCAGGGATGATTATAACACATTCCTTTCCAACCAAAACTGCCCTGCATCGAGCCAGGTCCATCAACGGGGGGATTTCAAGTCTGGACTAGGCTGCAGGCTCCCCGGGGCAGGGACCACATTTCCTCAGAGATTTCTGAAGTACCATCGGTGCTCAAATAGCAGCTGTTCACAGCCCACCGCCCACGCTCTGCCCTCAGGAAAATAGCCCAAATCGTGCACTTATGGGGCATGTGCACGCGTGCACACACACACACACACACACTTCCTTCCTGACACTGCTCATGCAAACCACCACCAGGGAGCTGTGTTGCCAAGAACCCTTCGCACACAGAACCAGTAACTTCTCAGAGGCAGCGACTTAGCCGAGGGCCTCTCTCTGCAAGAGCCTGACAGTTTTGCCATGTGAGGTGGACAATGAGCCATGAAGAGTGGAGCGGCTATCCACATACGACCATCGACTTTTTACCCAGCCCTCCAGAAGAGACAAGCTGGTGCACTGATCCGCTGAGAACAAAATTACAATAAAAGGAGTAAGCTCTATTGTGGGTCCTGTGCAGCTTGCCAGCACACAAGGAGCGGCTAGCCCCAGCTATTAAAGATTACACATTTTTTATTTACATCAACGTGACTAGCTGTAGTTTTAGATTATTTATGCTCCAGAGGAGATGTTTATTCTTCTGGCTACATGAATTTGCAAGTACTTAGTGCTGGAAACTGGACTTGTTATACTGCCTAGTTAACTTCAGGTACCATTGTCCCTAATCACTTCTCTTTCGGATACACCGCAGCCACAGAAAGCAGCTATTTTAGCAACTGAGCGCTAGGATTCCAAATTCGAAGTACTGTGCACCGTTGCTGGAGTCAGACATTCCAAGGCCAGATAGGACCATTGTGATCCCGACCTCCTGCATAACACAAGCCAGAGAAGTTCAGCAAATAATCCCTAGGTCTGGGGGAAGCTGATTGTCAAAGGCCTTGGCTACACTCGGGACTTCACAGCGCTGCCGCGGCAGTGCTGTGAAGTGCGAGTGTAGTTGCGCCGCCAGCGCTGTGAGAGAGCTCGCGCGGCGCTGTATGTACTCCACCTCTCCGAGGGGAATAGCCTGCAGCTGTGAGAGAGCTTTACAGCGCTGTACTCGCTGCGCTCAGGGGGGTGTTTTTTCACACCCCTGAGCGCAGCAAGTTGCAGCACTGTACAGCGCCAGTGTAGCCAAGGCCATAGTCACTTACCAGCTAGTTTGGTGACATCTGCGTGGCCTGTGACTAAATGCACACAATAGCTCAGAAGTGACAGAGACGGGACACAGTGCAGGAACATGCCCGCACCCTGCCCACGAGGCGCTGTGTTACACAACACAAATGGAACTAGTAATACAGCACTGAGGCACACAAACAATTAGCTCATGGCAAACTAGGGCATGAATCTTCACCACCAGAGCCTGCCACGCACCAGAGGTCCACATCAGTGGCTCTCAACCTTTCCAGACTGCTGCACCCTTTCAGAAGTCTGATTTGTTGTGTGTACCCCAAGTTTCACCTCTCTTAAAAACTACTTGCTTACAAAAATCAGACATAAGAATACAAAAATATCAGAGTACACTATTACTGAAAAATTGCGTACGTTCTCTATTTTACCATGTATTTATAAAAGAAATTGATTGGAATATAAATATTGTACTTCAGTGTATAGTCTATAGAGCGGTATAAACAAGTCATTGTCTGTATAAAATTTTAGTTTGTATTAACTTCACTAGCGCTTTTTATGTGGCCTGTTGTAAAATCAGGCAAATATCGAGATGAGTTGATGTACCCCCTGGAAGACCTCTGTGTGCCCCCAGGGGTACATGTACCCCTGGTTGAGAACCACTGGTCCACATGGACCCGGTTGACATGCACTAACAGTTCATTTATGCACTTTGATCTAATCTGTTTCAAAGAGGACTAGATCAAAGTGCATTAACGCACTGTTACTGTGCATCAGCAGGGTCCACAGCAGGCTAGTGGGGGGCAGATTCACACCCCAACTTGCCATGAACTAATTGTTTGTGTAGTAGACAAGCCCCAGGACTGCAGCCAAGGTGGGTATATCGACAGTGCTGTTCACACATCTACTGTTCTTGGAAACCTTGTTATTACAGATTCTATGCAAATCAAGAGAAAATCCCTCCAGAGAGGATATTCCAGCTAGAGAAATCGCACATAAGGGGCTAACATTTGGGTTTCCATAAACTGACCTAAGACCTGCTCTGATTAAAACTGTTTGAATGTAGGGTGCATGCTGGCTGACAAAGAAACAGAAGAAGAGGGCCTGGGGCTGAGCAGGGCTGAGATGCGGAGAGAATGATCTGCACATCCAGTCCCAAGTCACAGGACAAGGGTTCAGGCCCCTGTCACCTGAGAAGGGTCAGTGTTCAGACTCCAGTGGCCCAGATTCACAGAGGGAGCCCAGCACTAGAATAGCAGCAGGGGCTCCAGGCCCGGGCTGGTGGTGTGCAGAGGCCTGCCCCACACCTGCCCAGGCTAAACCAGTCATTCAGTTGCATGAGCACCGAAAATTAGCGGCAGAGATCTGGGACTCAGGAGTGGAACCTACAGTTTTCACGGGCTGTAATTCAACTCTCACCTCCACGGTTAGTGAAATGGCAGATCTGGGGCGGGAGCTGCAGCCTGTCTCTGAAAGGCCCACGGAGCTGCCAGGAGCAGCTTTCTGCAGGGGAAGGTGAACCGGTGCACTGCAGACATTCTTCCAGGAACTCCCAGAGCCACCACTCAGCAAAGGCCTTCAGGTTAAAGAGAGCCGCATGATGAGGAGAGGGAACCGGAAAAAAATAAAGGGGACAAACATCCATTTACAAAGTTGAAAACTGTTAGAATCCATGAGGCTGAATCGACAAACGTCATAACCGTGATTCAAC